GAGCTTTCCAGGTCCCTTCCTGTTCCTAATATTCTGTGATCCTGTGATTGAATGTTTGCTGCTCCTGTCCTTCCAGCTCGGCTCCTGGAGAGCTGTGCCCCACGGGCTCTCCTCCTCCCCACCCGCTGGAGCAGCAGCAGCTCTGCTCTGGACAGCATCCTCGGCATCCCTGCTGAGAAACCGGCCAGCGTCCTGGACCAGCACCCACCAGCTGTTGCCACCAGTAAAAGTGAGTGGTATCAGCTGCCCAGCTGGGTCCTAGTGCTGGGGTGGACGGTCCTGACCCACTGCAGGGCTTAGCCATGTTCAAGCTCCTTCTTTTCCCTGTAGAAGAACAAGACCGCCTGTTGCGGTATCATCCTGACCAGCCCCCAAACCCCAAGGTTTTAAGAATTGCCATCATTGGAGCACCCAATGCTGGGAAGTCCACGCTCTCTAATCAGCTGTTGGGCAGAAAGGTAAAGCTGCTGTGAAACGACAAGTTCAGGCTGCTAAATAGTTTTGGGTTTTTTGGCATATTCTGGCTGTGTGACGTGTTTCATTTCTTACAGGTTTTCCCTGTCTCTCAGAAAGTGCACACGACGCGATGCAAAGCCCGGGGTGTCATCACGTACGAGGACACACAGCTGGTGAGCTTCCAGACCTGCTTCTGCCCGGGGCAGCGGGGAGAATTAGCCAGAAAGTGTGGGGTTTTCCCATGTGTATCACATGGGGTCACTCCTAATTGCACAGGTACAAGTTTGAGCTTGGCCACTAACAGCAGGCAAACTTACAAGATCCGTCTTTTCCTCTTTCCAGATCATTCTGGACACACCTGGCCTCACTAATCCTCATAAAGTCAAAAGGTATCACTGCTGTTGTGGACAGAGCGGGGAGGTTTGATAAAACCAGAGTGTGATTTACACTGTGCAAAGTTTGTAAAACAGGAGTGACAGCGATGTGTATTTTTAGCTTTGTTGTGGTTTCTGGCATGTTTTAGTGTCACAGTTTCAGTCGCACACAGAGCCTGTGGAATCCCCTGAGCTCTGTTGTGTCTGTGCGTGTGTGCGTGTAATGAGGACTGGCACAGCCCATGAGGCAGCCCTTTATCAGCTGGGATGGTGGAAAACACTGGGTTTTTTTCCCCTCCTTTGAGGGGAAGACAGTTGTGATCAATTGTGTCTGGCTTGCTCATTTGCATTTGTCTTTCAGACATAAATTAGATGAAACTATGCTGACAGACCCACAGGACAGCATGAAACATGCGGATTTAGGTGAGTACTCGGCTCCTCTTCGATCAAGCCAAACCCTTTATCTTCTGCAGTTTAGAGCTGTGGTATCTGGGTGTTTACTGGGTAGCAAGAGCAGCCCGGGGAGTGTGAACTAGGAGGGATGAGGCAAGGGCAGTGAGAGGATTTGAAATATTGAGCTGAGAGAGGGATAAGAATTGCATAAGAATTATTGCCTTAATAATTGGACTTGGATGTTGAGCTTTAGCATGTGCCTTGTCATGAGGATGACAGCTGCAAACTGCATTTGATTGTTTCATCAGGCAAAATGCTCCTTTTTCGTTCTGTCCACGTGCCTTCCAGTACAAGAGAGAGAGGCAGCAGCAGAAGGGCATGGCCTCAGGCTGTAGAGAAGCTGAAAACGAACATTCTGGGACAAGCAGGTTCATCGTGTTTCCCTCACTCTTTTTTTGGCAGTTCTGGTTTTGGTGGACGTATCGGATCACTGGACACGAAACTCTCTGAGCAAAGAGGTGCTGAGGTGTCTTTCTGAGTTCCCCCAGATCCCCAGTGTCCTGGTTCTGAACAAGGTAAAGGAGGAGTTTGTTCTTTCTACGTTGTGCAGGGTGCTACACCAGAGCCTTCAGACAGGACCTGGCACCAGCAGCGATGAGTTTTCAGGTCACTGAACTCGGGTGTGTTAAAGGACCCCGGTTTCCCCCTCTGCTCCAGAATATTTAAGTGTGAATAGGCATTGCATGCACACAGATTCCTGAAGCTGCAGACTGGGGTTTAAATTGGCCTGGGGACAGGAGCTGGCACCACAGTGGGGTTTGGACCAACTGTACTGGAACTGCTGCCACGCTCTGGTTTGGCCTCTGGCTGGAAAACTGCCTGGTTTGGTTGCAGAAGCCTTTCCTGCAGCAGCTGCCTCCCCTGGGTGGTTTCTTCTGGCTGCTTGGGATCCAGGGCCCAGCTGCCAACCTCATTCAGGACAAATTCCTGACACCTCTGTCTCTCTCTTTAGGTGGATCTGCTGAAGAAGAAGTACATCCTGCTGGAACTGGCAACTGAGCTGACAGAGGGAGTTGTAAATGGAAGGAAACTGGAAGTGAGATCTGAATTTAAACAGAATTCCAGTTCTTCGGCAAAGCCTCCTCTTCAAATCACTCAGGATTCACCTGAGAGTAAGGCCCCTGAGTCTCACTGTCTGCAGGAGACGGATCAAGCCCAGGACGGCTCAAGCTTGGACAGCAGCAACTCGAGGGCTTCCGAGTCCAGTCTTGCCACAGAAGAAGCACAAGGACCAAAGCGCTATGGACCCAGAGATCTAAAACGTATGAAAGGCTGGCCGGGCTTCCAGGAGATCTTCATGCTGGCAGCTCTCCATGGGGAGGAGGTGAACACGCTCAAGGTAGTTGCAGTCTGAACTTATGCTATGCTTTGTTACTGGTATGACCCTACCCTTGTGGGACCCCGATAACTTCATCCTGAGCCTCATCTCCTGTGAGGAAGTAGCAGAGCTGCTCTTCTTGGTCTGGGATATGGACAGTGGAAGGCGTTGTCTATCAGTGTGTCACTTCAGTTACAATAACCCCATGGACACTACAGGCTTGGG